AAATTTATGCAATGTAATGGATTGATCATTTCACCTGGAAAGAATAAGCAATTCTTAAAATACATCATTTCATCCACATAGCTATTAAAGTTATCTTACTTGTTTCAGATTACACTTGAGCAATCCATTTATGGTTAAAGATTGACATGCTGTTAAAATCTTTTTGTAAGGTAAGTGTTTTTAATATAATACAACACACATTCACGCACATGTCAATTGCTAATAAACCGATGGTTTACAGATGAAAGCTTTACGCAGGTTGATTATCGTCTCCAGTGTGCCGTATTCTGTTCCTCCATTACACGACCAACTACATGTATATAAAAACTTGCTTGTACTTTCATCCATGTTATGTGTAATTTATTTCATACATTCTTAAAAAAAAGTGTTCAAATAAGATGTTTTGCTCTTCTCTAGAATAAGACAAAATGATCTCAATCTGTCAGTTGAATCAAAATTTCTATCCTTTTTTTTTCATTTCAGAAGCCCACGGAGAAACTGCAATATGGGCCTGCAAGCAACAAGGTCTTTGGTTGACATATATCATGCTCAATTTCATGTATCTCTTATATCAAATCCAAATAAATATTTCTATAATTCCTCGTTATTTTTTTCATATTGATATAAAATACACAGTGCAGCAATATTAAAATGGGAAAGGGGAAAGATTACATAAATGTGATAACTGTTTCAAGTTCAATCTGGAAAATTGTGTAATTTTTCTTGGAGGGGGGGGGGGGAATGACGATTTTCTATGAAACCTGGCGATATTTAAAATTGAAATGGTTTAAAGCTTTGTAATTATGCACATTATTTTTTAAAATAAAAATTGGACATTAAAGGTCTTACCCGCTGAAAGAATATCTAAATTTCAATATAAAGTATAAATTTACAATCTTGCAATCCGTTCATAAGGTTTGTTTGTTTATAGCAACATGCATGACACCCCTCAAATGGAATGGAATCATCCCACCCGTCATCCCTCAAATGAATTGAACTCGTCCCACCTGTCACCCCTCACATGAAGTGAACTGGTCCCACCTGTCACCCCTCAAATGGAATGGACTCGTTCCACCTGTCACCCTTCAAATGGACTCCCCACCTGTCACCCCTCACATGAAATGGACTCGCTCCACCTGTCACCCCTTTGATAAAATGGACTTGCCCCACCTGTCATCCCTCGAATGAAATGGACTCGCCCCACCTGTCACCCCTCACATGAAATGGATTCTCCCCACCTGTCACCCCTAACATGTAATGGACTCGCCCCACCTGTCACCCCTCAAATGAAATGCCCCGTCACGCCTCGCCACGGGATGGACAAAAATAAAAAACACCACGTGCTTATATATAACACAGTTTATTAAGATTTGAATTAAAGGATTGCAGAATCAAATACATTTTAAAAGTATCAATTGGAAACAGCTTTATACGTGCAGTATGCATGATAATTAGCCTGAACCCAAGTTTTAATAAATTGAATGTAAAAACATAGTTTAATGCAGATTTTATTTTATTCAGTAGAAACGCAACTATTTTGATGGCAAGATACACAATACTCTTGCAAAACAGAAAAATTGATTTTTTGCACATACAAAGTGCCTGAAAAGGACCATTCAAACGTAATACATACCAGTACATGCAAGCTAGGCGAAATGCATGAAAATTAAGTAAAATTTAATTTATCTTTAAAAAGATACCGACTTGTGGAATACTGGTGCATTGTTTCAAAATGTTGGTCTTTCTTACCGATTTTGGTTTCAGATTCAAACGTTGTTTCACAAGTAATGTTAGAATATCCATAGAGTATGCATACAAGGATGAAGGCAAATAATAAAAAATGGAAGGATTTGTTATAAAAAGAATTGGATTTATCAAAGTATGCTACATGATAAATTGAAAAAATCTACAGCATATATTAATATAATTTCTCGTTTAAATTAGCTGTTATGTTTCAGCGCTGTTAATAAGATAGACGATGGCGAAATAAAATACCATTTATTTTTCCAGAATAACAATCGGTAGTGAAAAAATGCACGTGAAATCTTAATGCGCGACGTAAGGCACTGCATCACATAAGCAGTGATCTCAATACATGGACAAAATTTGGGCAAAGATATCATTTGACAATTTGCAAAGTTTTCAAGCCATCTATGTGTGTTTTGAATCAGTTCAAAGAATACAATTTGAACTAGATTACATATAATTTAAAAAGCTTGTGTATATAAACACCACTTTTATAACTGTCTCTGGGTTGTTTAGAAATTGAAAACTCCAAAAAGAAATGTACATTTATTCGGGTGAAATAGTTCGTCACTCGTTAGTTTACGATTACATCGGTTTGAACTCCTAAAATCAATAAATGCAATTCTACAATGTAAATTAAGAAAAATTATCATGTGATAGCTTATCGACTTTAAAGAATGATCTTACCAGAGATTAGACTAACTTTACGTTGAAAAAACACACCTTTATCCCCAACGTTTAATTCATCGTGTAGATAGTTTGAGTAGCCGAAAGGGTTTTAATGGAATCAGATTCATCCGAGCTCGTTGTTTCGAACAATTAAAAAGAATTATGATTGATACCTAAGGTACATGGCTTACGAATGATATCAGTAAATTATTTTCAATTAAGAGAATCAATATGTAATCCTACAACGATTTTAAAATCACAACAAGATCACTCGCCAGTTCACCACCTCATAAAACTGTTCAATCGTTATAACTGTATGTACGTGTGCGCTCGTTTGCATGAGTGTGCCCAGTTCCTAATACGGGCTGAAGGCTGGGCGTGCTTCCATCAGTCACGTGCCTTCTGCAGTCAGCGAATTAGATTGCAGTTCTGAAATATGAATATAATACGTTAATAACACAATTATTCTAAGGTGATACATGTATTCATTTAGACTAAAGAAACTTCAAATGAAAAAGTGGAGTTGATATTGAAAGAATTAGCACTGGCTGAGCATCAAATTTATAAAGAAATTTCAATAAAAAGATATAAAATTAGAATAAAAGGAGCACAAAAGAACTATATACATGTATATTTCTGAGCAAATGTCAATAAATGTGATGCTTGTCTCTAGCACTTTGAAACGAATGGCCAGGAAAAAAACGTAAATGTAAAATCCACCACCTTTGTTCATGTGTTTTAGCTTCAAATTAAGAAAAGTAAAAAGATTTTTTAAGCAGACACTCAAAGTTAAATACTAGTAAATTGAACAAATATTGAAGAAATGTCTATAAAATACAGGGGACAGAAACTGGACAACAAAATGTGACAGTTTACATGCATCCGTATTCTTCATGCTTCCAGCGACAGCGTGCCATCGAGTTTTTAAATATTTTAAAAGATAGTCACCACAACTTCAAAATGTGAAAGACCACCCAGCTACATGTATATTATCCACTGTTTTTTTAGAGGGCATAACATGGTAATTTGAACACCCAGAAACGTGAACTACACGGTACTAGAAAAGTTGAAAAGTGGCCATTGTGAGAAACATTCCGGGTGCAAATAACACCATGGTCATTACCGACAGAGAACAATAGAAATGCAAACAAAGTTGCACATATAAACTGCCATTTCACGTTACGCCTAACTTTTTTTCATTATTATACGTCTTCATTACAAGACTGAAAAAGAAATGTCACTTACAAGACATATTTGCTTCAACGCAGTTGAAAGTTCGGCCTTACGTCTTCGTCTCACACAGTCCAGCTGTCAAGCGACTAGAATTCAGAAAACGTGCCCACCGACTAGTTGTTATGTAAATCACCAAGGTCGCACGTGACTAGGCGAGTTGCTACTGTAATCATTTTCTCTAGAAATAGGGGAATATATTTACGTATTGCTTGAAAGATACATTAATGAAATCAGACTTTTGGGCGAGTTCTGGAGTGATCGAGACGTATGACCCAGGGTGAACTTAAAAGGATCGTATTATTCGTCCAATTAATATCTATAACTTAACCAATCCTTTATCAGTGCAGAATGCACCAAGACGTTTATGTAAATCCTGACCGTTACGCGAAGTTCGGGCCTTTTGTCATGTTAATCCAGAGGTATGGATCATTCCGAGCAAGGGGAGTGGTGCGCATTTGCAGCCACCGCCACATCAAGTGTTCAGCCTGTGGATAATCATTAAAAAAATCTTGATGTAGGGACCCCCCCCCCCCCCATGCACTCTAATACATGTACAAAACAGTTACACGTTCACGCATGTAGGCAGATGCCCTGCCCTGCAACGAGCTAACTAAATCCACTTAAGGGTTAATTACAGGTAAATAATGACTAAATCAATGTCCATCCCCCTGATTTTATTTAGTAATAGGACAATTCTTACATAGACATACATACATAAACATACACAAAATTGCACAATGTATAATGAAGCTGCAAAGGAAATAATACTGTACTCTCAGCTACTAGGATCATTTAATTATATGGAATTGTAAATTCGAAGCAAAGCAGTTTTGAAAATATTATTAATTCAATGTTTAAAGCATCCAGGTATGCATATATTTTTTGCCACATTAGTTTATCCATTATTCTATCCAGGATACAAAAATGTACACTTATTACACATTAAATAGTCATTTCCACTTGTACATAACTTCTTGATAATGGTGTTATCAAATACACGATGTAATAGTTACTGTAATAAATCTTGAAAGAAAATTACCAAGAAATAAAAATCAATGCACATATTCTAAATTTACTATCCATAACACTTCTCTTTGTACTTATACTTCATATAGCAATATGTCCATTGAGCACGAAAGGGGGGTGCTACAGACATGGGTATAACTTGAACTTGCATGTTCATATCACCATTATTCGTATAATTCACCTTTTTTAAAACGCACATTCAGACCGTTGAAAACTTGGGATATAGTGACAAAAAGGTCACTTACCATAGGATTTTTTTAAAATCACTTTGAATACAACCAATCACATTACACAATGAATAATGTGTATTCTAATACTTTAAACTATTTTTTTTTCATTCGAGCTTTGCCAGAATTCATTACATAACAAGGAACCACATGACTGATAAGTAAGTCCAGACTAGACTGATAAAACATTAGATTTCAAAAGGCTCCACACCAGGATCCTCTACAAACATCCACTATCACAAATTAGAACTGTAAACTTTTAACCTTTAAGAAACCCAAAAGATTTTTAAAGAGTTTTATCCATCTGCTCTTTCTCATTTTAACAACAAAAAAAAAATTAGAATTTTAGCAAGCATGTTGTAACCTTGAAATTTCAAACATTTTACCCAAAGAGCAATCCAATTTCCATTATATGTGCATTTTTAATTTGTATATTAATGGCTGAATAAACTCTTAAGTTAATTCCACTGGTGACCACTTGCTACATTAACTAAGACCATTCTGACCCTTCTTCAGCCACCCCAGCGTCCACCTCACTGTCCGTGTCCTGAGAGTGACCTTCTTCTTGGTCAGCACCTTCATCATTCACATCTGCTTCAAAGCCACTGTCCCCATTGGCTGCCTCCTGACCATCATCAAATATTATGTCTTCAGGGTTGGGGGCTTTAGGGAGAAACTCTTCCCCTGGGCATATTTTTTCAAAGACTTGTCTTGCCTGAAAATGAGAGGAAAATTTGAAAGAATTATGAAAATGTGAATTTTGATGATGCAGATTGTAAAAAGGGAGTAACTAATCAATGCACCAAGCCTGTAAAATTAAACACCATTTCATATGATCAGCATGCACATCTTGTGTGAAAATCTTTTAGATAGTTACGTGAATAATAAGCAGATATTATATTTCAGAGGACTTGGGGCAGGCTTATGAAGCAGGGATCAGCTTCTGACCAAAGGTGCCATTATATTAAGAAGATACCTAATATTTTAATATTAAAATTTTGATACCATAGTGCTGACTCACCTCTAGAATGGAATGCTCAAAATCCAGTGTTGCCCCAGGTCCAGCCACCAGCACCACATTCTCTGGGGTTTTCTCATTCAAATCACATCCAGTATTGTCCATCTGGTTGAGGTGGAGTGACCACAGCACTCTGGGCCTGGTATCTGTAGGCTCTGGTTCTACTGGAAGAATAGTTATCAAAACCAATGGCATTGATGATAATTATGTGAAAAAATATATGGGAAAATCAGATAATGCCAATTTTAATAACTTGACAGATATTTGTGAACAATGTGTTAAAGTAAATGGCAACATTATGGCAGTCACAGTGTCCATGGCTCCTACTCAGCCTCCAACAACGTGGACAGAAGAAGTCAATGTCAACTTGTGCAGACATCATCTGGACATAAAAATAATCCTAATGGGGGAAACCAATATTTAATTATGTTCTCTTCTATAATCACTTTCATCCTGAACTGAATAAACCATCTTTATGTATGATCTTTGATCTTTACCTTGTTCAACGTGCTTGAAGAGGAGATCTTCAGCTGGCTTTAGGTCTTCTTCAGCTGAATTACAACCTTGACAAGTCAAATGCACTACATCTGAAATCAAAAGAGAAGGGCACAGTAATACCAATGCCTTTAACTAAAAGATGTTTCAGGATTCTAATGCTTTTGTTTCCATGACATCTGAGTTTTGACACCGTTTTATATGTACACTATACATGATGCACAGTCAGTGCACATGTTTCGGACACTAAGTACATGTATATTAACCAGATATCATATAACAGAGGACTGGTATATGCACAGTTTTGACTTACGAAGTCCCTTGGGGCAGGCATATGTGGCAGGGCTCAGCTCCATGACAGTGATAGGATCTGTCTGGCCATTAGCTGGTGGTAGATGCATCAGAGTAATCTACAGACAGACAAATATGTTTCTCACAAGTACAAGTAGTGTGTGTGTGTGTGTGTGTGTGTGTGTGTGTGTGTGTGTGTGCTTGTGTATATGCTTGTATGCAAGTGTGAGGGCCTTGCAGAGATCCACAGAGTAAAATATAACTTATAAAATGTACCAAAACATTACATATCCATATCCACATATATTTAAAACAACTGCATAGTTATTTAATCATTATTTCCTAAAAACTTGTAAAATCTTGACACTTACTTCGAGCGAAATTTTACTGTCAGTATAAAAAATCAAGAAAGTAAAGTCGATATTTTTCACTTTACAATAGTTAGGACACCTACCTGATCTTGATCATCTGTGCACAAAGATTTGTCAGTGATGTAAATCCCCCTAGAACTTTTCCTGCAAAAGAAATCATAAAGAAGAGCAAATTAAAACCCAGTATGTGTTAAATGAGAAACCACTTTTGATATTCATAAATGTTTACTTTTCTACTGTCTGTGCACCCCGTTTAGGATATAACATTCTTAAAGAAAAGAAAGTGATTTTCAGGGCACATGACCATGAGTTCTTACATCATTTTATCCTGATTTAAGGATTTATTAAATAAGAAATACACCCAGTTGGAGGACACATCACTTCAGACTGGCCCTAGTCCCTTACCTGTTCCTAGAATTTTCTGGCAACAATGCTTCTGATGCAAGGCCTCCTTCCATTATAACCC